CATAGACTTAAAGAGAAAGAGAGGCAGAGACAGAGAAGTAAGGAGAGGAAAGAGGGGGATAGGCAGAGGAAAGGCAAGGACGGACAGAGCCGGGGCAGAGAAAAGCCAGAAAAAGATAGAAATGCACTGGGAGGCAATGGCAGATTCTGCAAAGAGACAAACCTAGAAGGAGAGGTTGACTAGAAGGAAACAGAAGACAGGAAGAAATGATAGCAAAAGAAACTGAGGCAGGCTGAGGGGGGCTCTCCAGGGGATCCTTACGCCCCTCACACCCCCAGCAACCGAGGGTACCTGTGATGGCGTGCTGGGAGAAGGCCTCCACGTAGACGAGGTAGTTGTGGGGACAGTGCTTCTTGAGCCACTTGCAGACGTCCTGCTGACTCCACAGAACCACAGGCCTCGTCAGGCCACCCAGTGAGGGACTTGTGTGGTACAGACCATAGTGGTCGGAGTATAGCCGGCCCTGCAGGGGAGATGGGTGGCAGGTGGAGTGAGGTGATGGGGAGGGCAGGGGCTGAGGTGGGTATGCTGGGTGGGTACCTGGGGGGCCTCTGTGCCAGGCTGCTGCAGGAGCTTGACTGGCCGGCCGCCAGCGGCCCTCTGGCTACGGGAGTCGTGCCACGTGAGGCTGGTGCCTGGCGTCCGAGGCAGGTGACAAGGGATGCTCTCAGTGGACACTGTGTGATCCAGGAGGGTTCGGCAGAAGCTGAAGTGTGCCGTGGCTGTAGAGCACGGGTGCCTGGTCAGAGTGGTCAGGGACAGGGCCAGAGGACCCTCTCTCTGCAAACCAGCTCCCTGCCCAACCCATCTTCCCTCCCAACACAGAGAGCCACCTTCCCAGTTAGAGGTTCCCAACCCCCCAAAGGCAGAAAGGAAGTACACAAGAGCTGTCTTGAGCACCCACCCAGCCCAAGGATGACGACCTAGAAACACCTTTCCTTTTCTGAGTACACAGTTCATACTCTGGGGAACAGGACTGTGCTTAGATTAGAGAGGAAATGTGCCCACCAGGGAGCCTCAGACTTATAGCCTGGTGAGGGGCTATCCTGAGTCAGGCCTGCCTGATCTTGCCCTTGCCTTGGGCTGACACGTGCTGAGCCAGAGTGGGGCACAAAGACAGGACCTGCTTGTGAGGGAGCACTGGCCCCTACGTCCTGGGAGAGCCTGCATGGTGGGAACCCCCTGAGTATGCTGCCTACCCCTCACCAGTGAGGGCACCCTGTCTCTGCAGCCATACCTAGCATCTGAGACTTGGCTCCTGCCCTGTCATGCTCTGCTCATCTGCTGACCCCCACCAACAAGAGGCCTGAATGAACTCCGGGTCAGCCAACAACCAGGACGGCTCTCCTCCACCTGCCGCAGAGCCCTTGGCCCAGGACAGCTCCTGGGGGTAGTGGGCTTCCAGAGGGCATGGGCTGCTCAGCACAGTTATGCAGGGTCCAGCCGTATGCTCAGAGGGCCCAGTGACACCTTGCGCCCTCTATTCCCCAAACAGACTTCATTTTACTCTTGAAGTTTCAGTTTCTCTCTCATTTCTGGGCTTGTTGCTGACATAGGTCATGGGAGAGCAGACACCCCGATGAGCTCCTCCCAACACCTTGCACAGGTCTGGGCACAAAGGGGGTGCCCAGAAATACCGTGGATTAATGGATGGATGGATGGATGGATGGATGGATGGATGGGTGGGTGGACAAAGGCTCTGTGTGGTATCCACAAGTCAACAGAACCCTAGGGAGAGATAGGGCCCAGGTGTGCCCTCATCTTTACAGCATCCAGGCCCCAACTCAGCAGGCAGAATCAGGTTCTTGGCCAGGGCGCCTGCCCCACTGGCTCTCAGCAGTAGAATGAGAGACCCTGCCTCCCATGGACACAACCTCGCAGCCGCAACTGAGGGCAGGGTTTGGCGATGTGCCCGAGAGGTCTCGGTATCGGGGAAAACCCATTACTTCCCCTCCTTCTACCCCTTAAGATTCCTCCGACTTAACATCCCCCCTTCATTCTTACAACGTTCTGGAATCGGATGACACCAGGTGACTCTAAAATTGAGGTCCAGGTGTGGTGTGGCTGCCCCGTTGTGGCTTCTAGTATCGTGGAAAAAGATTAATAAATCTTTCAGGACACAGGTGCCTGTGCCGCTCGGCCTCGCGTCTCAGGGCCTCGCGAGCGGAGCCGTGCAGGGCCGGGGCCCCAGAGCTAAGCTCTGGGCGAACCAGTCGGACGCCACCGAGCGCGCTGCACCTGTCAGGGTACAGCCGGGCCCCGCCCATTTCCTGCCCAGCACCAGGAGGGATCTCCATCTTTCCGTCCGTCTGCCCGTCGTTCCGTCCCTCCCTCTTAACCCCAACGTCAGAATTCCAGCATAAAATGGGGCGGGGGCGCCCAAGCCCGACTGTGGCCTCGGCTCCCTCTCGGCCCCACTGCAAGAGCTGGGGAAGGAAGGGGAGCTCGCGCGAGGGAAAAGGTGACCGCAGGATGGTGCGAGCCTGAGGACAGGAGCCCCAGCCCATAACCTCCTTCCAGCCAAGGGTGCGCCGATCCCCGAGGCCTGAGGCTACCCGCCCCGCCGCCCCAGCTCAGGACAAAGACACCGGAGACCCCGTTCGGCCAGGACGCGCCCCCCAGTCCGCGCCAAGCCGCCACTTGGAGTCCGCCAGTTCCCGCCCCCGTTCCTCTCGGTCCTCGAGCCCCCAACCTGCGATATCCCCGAAGCCCTGCTCACCGTCCACATCCCGGCGCTCCCCGAAGCCGGCGCGCACAGCCCCGGCGCGGCCTCGCGGGGGGCTCAGCTTGGTCCTTAGCTCCGTGAACATGGGGCCCAAGGATCCCGGGCCCGTGCACACGCCCCTCGCCGGGCGCAAGGCGGCCCGTGTGGCCGGCGGGGAACGCGCGCCGCTGCCCCGCCCCAGCCGGCCCCGCGCCCGAGCCGGTCCCCCGCGCCCGGCGAGTCTGCGCGGCGAGGCACCTGCCTCTGAGCCCTGAGTGCTGGGCGCGCTCCGGGAGCTCCGAGGTGTGTCGGCGGCGCGCAGGTCTGCGTATGCAAAGGGTGTCTGCCAGGGTAAGGGACGACCTTACGCACCTGGGCATGGCTTCAAGGAACAGTGATTCTGTGCACCTATACGGGATCCAGACGTCTGAAGGGACTTCTGAGGCAGGGAAATAAAGATGCGATCTTTCGCGCGGGGAAGGAAGGGGTAGGAGGGGAGTATCCTACCTGCTCCTGGGATCTTCTGTCCACCGGAGCCCAGGTCAAAGGCCAGACCGATGCCTTGCAACCACTTCCCTTCATTCTCCTACCTCAGATTACCGACTCACTCCTTTATTTACGCATTCTTCACACCTATCCAGAGATCTCTCCTCAAATGGGCACTTGCTTCCCTAGACCCTCTCTAAACCCCCACCACAATGTGAACTCCAGTAAGACAGCCAGGGTCTCTCCCCTTCCCTCTGTAGCCCCAGAATCTGACTCAGTGCTCAGGATGTGGCACCAAAAGGGGGTTGGCTGGGAATGGGGAGGAGAGAGAAGCTCCAAGGAGGCTGCAGCAGGCAGGAGGAATGTGTTTGTTCTAGGACCCCGCTGAGAAGTGCTAGGGTGGGCTGGGGGCTGCCCTGTCCAGAGGCTACCCACTGAGTTTCGCTTGCTCTGCCAAGTCTGAGCACTCTCCCCAGGTGTATGTGGGCTGCTGGAGGATGTCCCACAGAATGAGCAAAGGTACACGCGGAGATACAGAAACGTATGCAGAGTCGTCATGTATGTCCACCTGAAACACGAGCACAGGTGATCTGACTGGTACCCATGTCCACCAACACACGCAAGTAGAGATCTGCACCGAATTCACCCACATGCTGTGGCCACGCATGCCCACATACCGAATTGTTCCCAACATATCTACTGCCTTTACTTATTTTCGCCAATTGGCCCTGTAGGGGCTGCGCTTCTGCCCTCACTGCCATGTTCAAGGTGTGGTGGGGGTGGGAGTGGAGCCTGTACAGGGACTGGTGCCTGAACTGGAGCCCGGGGAACCTGAGCGCTGAGAGCTAGAACAGCAGCCTGCACCCTGGGGCACGAGCAGACAGGTGTGCCCACGATCAGGACACATACACCGCACACAAGCTGTCCACAACTAGTCAGGTGCAGCCCCGCTCAGATGTGTTAAGGCCAGCCCCAGGGCCAGGACGATTCTGAAGGGAAAGGTGAATGGCTAGGCCTGGTTATGAGCGGTCCCCGGCGGTCAGGCGGACTCGGGGAAGGGACCCATGGGTCCCGCTCATGCAGGCAGGTCTCCTCGGAAATGCGTCGAAAGCACGCAGTAAGTAAAGATGCCCCAGGCTGAGTTTTGAGGTCCTGCAGGTTTTTTTCCAGGACGATGTCGCTCCAGGAGGTCTCCAGCTGGGCGGTTCGCACGCCTCCCCACTATCAGGCGCCCCGCGCGTGCGCCTGCCACGTCCCCGCCCCATCGCCGGTGCCGGAAGTCGGTTTTCAGGAACTTCCGCCCGAGGAATGCGGAGTGGGCGGGGCTTCGTGCGGCCGGCGACCTTTGCTTCCGGGGCGCGGGTGACGCAGGGCCCGGGAGTTCTTCCTGCTGAAGAACCTGGGACGTCTGTGGTCTTTTGCCTGCGGTCGCGTCCTCCGTCCCCTCTTCCTCTCCGGCGGTGGTCGTCACCGGCGCCATGAACAAGAAGAAGAAGCCGTTCTTGGGCATGCCCGCTCCTCTCGGCTACGTGCCGGGGCTGGGCCGGGGGTAAGGCTGGGGGCGAGCCGCGGCGCTTGAGGGGAGGGAGCCGGCGGCGCGGGCCCCGGGGCCCGGCGAGCAGAGCGGGCCGCGCGCGCTTGGGGAAGAGGGGCTGGGGGCCGGCCCGGGCCCGGACAAGACCGTCCTCACTACCCGACGCTTCTCCTCGGGAATCAGTCGGATTTGGGGAGCTTGGCGACGGGGAAGATTTCTCGAGAGGGATGACAGATTAGGATCTGTGGCCACACTGTTTGCAAGACGTCCCTGGGCTTGGTTTAATCCATGTAGAAGAATGATGCTTTGGGGTGGACCAGAGCTGAGTACCACTTCTGCTTGCTCCCTAGACGACGCGAGGCTTGGGCTTTGACCATGCGTTGGTGGTGAGCCCGTGTTTGGATCTGTAAGATGATCTGTGAGCAGGTCTGCAGTGAGGACTACGGGAATCTTTGACGGGTCGTAGGAACACCGCGGCTACTCTCCCCAGGCCAGGCAGACCCCACACCCTTGTCGAAAGCATAAGTGATCCTTTCCCGACCAGATTCCTCTGTGTGGCGGCTCCCAGTGCCCCCTTCTTTCCCCGTGGTGTTGGTCGTCATACACTGGGTGTTGGAACTCTCAGCTCAGGCACGCAGGGCATCTGTGAGGCTTGTGACTGGGTCTCCCGTGCCTGTCACACGGATTACTGTCACAAGTGGTTGAATAAATGAGCAGTCATCATCATTCTATTTGTTTGGTTATTCATTTGTTTAGGGAAGCTATCAGGTTGCCCTGTGGGGGGTTAAGGTTGGAGTGGGGAACACACAAGTCTCACTGGCATCATCTTCAGAAGACCTCCTACCAGGAGAGGTGAGGTCTTTGCATTACTAAATATACAAAGAGGAGCAGATTCGTTTTTTAAGCCTTTTTTCCGTAAAGTTTATTTGTTTTGAGAGAGACAGAGACAGAGAGAGAGCGCGCATGTACATGAGGGGAAGGGCAGAAGGAGAGGGAGGGAGAGAGTCCCAAGCAGTCTCCACACTGTCAGTGAGGCATTGGATGTGGGGCTTGATTGAACTCACAGACTGTGATCAGCAGTCAACGCAGGGATGCCTGGGGGGCTCAGTCAGTTGAGCGTCCGACTTCAGCCAGGTCACGATCTCGCGGTCCGTGAGTTCGAGCCCCGCGTCAGGCTCTGGGCTGATGGCTCAGAGCCTGGAGCCTGTTTCCGATTCTGTGTCTCCCTCTCTCTCTGCCCCTCCCCCGTTCATGCTCTGTCTCTCTCTGTCCCAAAAAAAAATAAACGTTGAAAAAAAAAAAAAAAGAGTCGATGCTTAACCCACTGAGCCATGCAGGTGCCCCTAAAAAAGGAACAGGTTTGGAACTCTTGGGTCCCAGCGGTCAGGGAATGCTCTATCGAGTGGTAGCATTTGAGCCTTATTTGGTAGAAGATTGGGATTTAGGGATGTAGAAATGTGTGTGACTGACACTGTGTGTTGGGTGGTGAAGAAAAAAGGCCTGGTGTGGAGGAAGCTGAGGGACTCTCAAGGGGTCTGTTGGGTGGAAGGTGCAGGGGTGGAGGGACCAGAGTTCCTGTAGGAGAGACAGAGCCGTCAGAGTGCCATGGTCAGACTGCGCTGAAACGAGAAGAAGGCTAGAGGCAGGGGTAGCGAAGTTGGTTCCCGGCTGTGATGGGAGTCAAGGTTTGGGGAGGAGGGGTTTCAGAGGTAGACTCAGTAGAACTTGGTACCGATGGGATGGAGGAGAAGGCACGGAGGTGAGGCCGGTGGTCTGGTGCCCGCCTGGTACTTGGAAACACCCCAGGGCGGCTGCAGGATAAGCACAGAAAAGGAATTCTGGTTGGGTCACATTGGGGTTGAGGGCCTCCTTGGATGTGTAGGGGACGCGATCAGCAGGTTATTGGAAGTGGGAGGCGGGAACCTGGGCAGAGGGAGGTCTGATGCTCTGGTGAGTCTCTCAAGGAGAATGTGGGGCCTTGGTAACCTCCTCAGGGTAGGTCGGAAGCTTTCTGTCCTGAAGAGAACAGACTAGTAACGTTGGCGAGCACAGCGTGCTTGGTTCCTTACTGCCTGGCGCTTTGGTGCCTTCCCAGAGATGCGAGAAAAAGAGGGGTTATTAAGCGGGGACTGTGGAGGGGGAACAAAGGAACAAGTTCGCCTGGATAAATGGGTGTCTTGGGGTCTCCTGCAGTGCCACTGGCTTCACCACCCGGTCAGACATTGGGCCCGCCCGGGACGCAAATGACCCTGTGGATGACCGCCACGCGCCCCCGGGCAAGAGGACCGTCGGGGACCAGATGAAGAAAAGCCAAGCTGCCGATGATGACGATGAGGATCTGAATGACACCAACTACGATGAGGTGACTTGTGGCACGCTCCCAGCCAGTCCCCAGAAGGGCCGACCAGCTTCTTGACCCCGTGTGCTCTTGGCATCTCTGGCGACGGGCTCAGAGAGGCCAGTACAGCTAGCGCCTCTGCTGTGCCCAGGGTACCTTCAGCAGAGGGCAGGAAGGGAGCAGGACAGACAAAGATACGTGCACTGTTGTCTCTTCAGAAGAGATGTACTAGCCCTGGGGTTTTGTCTTGGCTTGTTTTGTTTTGTTTTGTTTTTTTTCCAACGTTTTTATTTATTTTTGGGACAGAGAGAGACAGAGCATGAACGGGGGAGGGGCAGAGAGAGAGGGAGACACAGAATCGGAAACAGGCTCCAGGCTCTGAGCCATCAGCCCAGAGCCTGACGCGGGGCTCGAACTCACGGACCGCGAGATTGTGACCTGGCTGAAGTCGGACGCTTAACCGACTGCGCCACCCAGGCGCCCCTGTCTTGGCTTGTTTTTAATAATGAAAATTCCAGGTGGAATTGGCGATGATTCTCTATTTTGTTTCAGTGCATACTCTCTTAGTTAGTTAGTATTTGGCCAGTTGAGGTTTTCTTCATGTGTGTTCTAATAGGTGGCATTTTTACTCAGGAAAAGATTTTAAAAATTTCAATTCTGAAATGATTAAAAAAAAATTTTTTTTAACGTTTATTCATTTTTGAGAGAGAGAGAGAGAGAGAGAGAGAGAGCGAGCAGGGGAGGGGCAGAGAGAGAGGGAGACACAGAATCCGAAGCAGGCTCCAGCCTCTGAGCTGTCAGCACAGAGCCCGATGTGGGGCTCGAACCCACAGACCGCGAGATCATGACCTGAGCTGAAGTCGGACGCTCAACCGACTGAGCCACCCAGGCGCCCCAATTCTGAAATGATTTTAAACTTCCAGGGAACTTGCAAAAATCGCGTGGAAAATGCCTTCACTAGCTTCTCCTCATCTCACGTGACCTTAGTACAGTTATTGAAACCAGGAAACTAACATTGACACAACACTGTTGGCTGTGTACCTAACCCGTGGGCCTCATTTGCGTTCCCTCCGTTTTCCCCTGGTGTCTTGTTTCTGGTGCACCCAGTCCAGGACCCTGCACTGCACTGGCTGTGTCTCTTGGTCCCTTCCCCTCTGGGTAGCTCCTTTATCTTTCATGCCCATGATACTTGTGAGCAGTACAGATGACTGACTTTATCTTCCCTCAGTTTGGGATTGTCGGATTGAGAAAAATTGTTTCACAAACGTTTTACAGCTAGAGGTGTTCTCTGTTTCTGCTTGTGGGGATTGTGTTGGGGGTAAAGCTGACCCTCTAAGTATGTTGTTGTGTCCTTAGTTTAATGGTTATGCTGGGAGCCTCTTCTCCAGTGGGCCCTACGAAAAAGATGACGAGGAAGCGGATGCTATTTATGCCGCTCTGGATAAAAGGATGGATGAAAGAAGAAAAGAAAGGAGGTAATGTAAATTTCTGCCCTTTACACTGTATTTACCCAACTCTCTTTCTCCTTCCTTTTTTCTTTCTCTTGCTTTTAATTCTACTTATTTATTTTAATAGTTTATTTTGAGAGATAGAATGTGCATGCATGAATTGGGAGAATGACAGAGAGAGGGGGGAGAGAGAATCCCTGGCAGGCTCTGAACTGTCAAGAGCAGAGCCCAATGCAGGGCTCGGACCCATGAACCGTGAGATTATGACCTGAGCCAAAGTTGGACGCTCCACCAACTGAGCCTCCCAGGTGCTGCATTAAGATTGTATTGTATTTATTTTTTGACGTTTGTTTATTTTTTTAATTTATTTATTTAAAAAAATTTTTTTTTTCAACGTTTATTTATTTTTGGGACAGAGAGAGACAGAGCATGAACGGGGGAGGGGCAGAGAGAGAGGGAGACACAGAATCGGAAACAGGCTCCAGGCTCTGAGCCATCAGCCCAGAGCCCGACGCGGGGCTCGAACTCACGGACCACGAGATCGTGACCTGGCTGAAGTCGGATGCTTAACCGACTGCGCCACCCAGGCGCCCCGACGTTTGTTTATTTTTGAGAGAGAGAGAGTGCAAGTGGAGGAAGGGCAGAGAGGAGACACAGAATCCAAGCAGGCTCCAGGCTCCCTGCTGTCAGCACAGCTGGAGCCCACAAACTGTGAGATCATGACCTGAGCTGAAGTTGGATGCTTAACTGACTGAGCCACCCAGGCACTAATCTCTGTACCCGTGGGGTTTGAACTCATACCCAAAATCAGGAGTCATATGCTCACTGATTGAGCCAGTCAGGTGCCCCTGTATTTACCTAACTTTAAAAAATTTTTTTTTTCCAAATTTATTTATTTTTGGGACAGAGAGAGACAGAGCATGAACGGGGGAGGGGCAGA